TGATTGTACATGTTTAATTTTTCTTATAAAAAGTTTACATTGTTTAAGTACATTTCTGTACACTATACGTAGTACTATCCTGCGAGTATTTTTCCTTTTCCTTTGAATAAAGTATGTTCACAAGTGTTACGTGTTTTTGGAAGAAAAAAATATTTACGCATTTTCGCTTACAAACAAAATGTCAACAATTAAAAATTTATACTATCTCTCAAGGGATTTCATTTTTTTTCTCCGCTTTTAAGTAGAAGTCTAAGCTTTCCGCTAAAAGTTTGTTAATCATTAAGCCAACAGCTACAGTTAAGTGATGGTTCAATCCATACGGGTCGGAGCATTACAAATAGAAATCAGGGGAACTAAAATGAAAGGTACCGAGGAGTGAAGGTTTGGGACAAAAGTGCGAAAGGAGATAAAGGTTGAGGACAAACGGTTGCAATTTCTGTTTTTTAATATGATTGGGGCAGGACATAGGTGCTATTTTCCGTTGGCGGTTCCTTTCTGCGCTATTTGAATCCCCTTGTCCAAAGCCATATATGTGTGTGTACAAGCAACTCTACAAATTTAGCGTAGGGAAAGATTTTCTACATAACCTGGCCATCCCACAGCCGCATAATTTTCTCACGCCAAATCCAAATCAGAATATCCGATCACTTTAACATTTGCAGCTGTTCTACGCCTCAAATCTGATCCTTCACATCTGGCTACATAATTTCTCTACACCTCTTTACCATATTTATGTGGTCTCTTGCTGTTTCCAAGTGTTATGGTGGGGGACCCTTTTTGATTCCAAATGCTGTTGGCTCAATAATTACTTTCTATTACTTCTACAAGAGATGGAAAAGACTACCAGATCAAAGAAATATATTAGCAAAAATAAACACACACAGAGAGCAGAGAGAGATAGAGAGCTTTTCATCTTAACCATAGGTTTAATGTACAAAAAGCTGAATTATGATATGTTGTCCAACTCCTTGTGAAATTGTTCCATTCAAGCTATGTCATATCCTCCTTGGTGGAAGTTGCAAATGACAAATCAACTAAGTGTGAAGATGTGACTTAGAGTGGGACATATAATCTCATGTCCTGAATGCTTCTTGTGGTTGGCTTTGGATTATTAAATAATTTAGGAAAGCAAAGCAAAAACAGGAAGGTGCAAGTTTAGAAAAATGCTCATAGATAAACACTCACTCTCATATTTACATCCCGTATATACAATATAAAAATTTCCAAGTTGTGTTTGAGAGAAATGTATAATGTGTGGAAGAACACTTACAAGTTACAAAATATAGTAAAACTCGAAAATCAGACTCAAACAAAATCTGCTAATTCCGACTTTCCTATAATATAAGCAAGTGGGCATGTATATGAGTTAGTTGGCAGCTTCCCTGTGCCAGTGGCAATGATTGAAGAAAAAGAGAGGTATGACTAATAGGTTTTTTGTCATAGTTCGTATTTATTGAAATTTAGGAATGTGGAGGGAGAGGAGATAGAAAATAGAAAGAGAACTTGCTAATTCTTCTGGAGGAAAATTCTGTTTCTTTGCTATGCTTACGTAGACCTTTGAAGTTTTTATTTCTTGTGGCAATATTCATTTTTGTCTTAAACCAAGTCAATGCTTCAGAGAGGCCTGTGTTATCTGAGGTTTTTGTGTCCTTCACCTTTTATCTGAACATTTGTACAAGTAGTAAGGCAAATATGGAATTGTATAACTAGTAATGGAGCATGTTTAAGCACTTTTAGAATGAAAATAAATTGGTATAATTTAATAATCTCCTAGAGTTTTGAGTGTGTGCTCTTTCATGTCATAGAGTGAAACTATTCGAGTCCTAAGTCACATTACTCTTTGGTCCATTGGATAATTGATTGTATTTGGAAGCAAATTGATTGGGCCCAAGCCCACACCCCCAAGGGAAAATTACCAAAAATCAGTGGTTTAGTTTGATCTTTCTGAAAATCAAGTTTATGCTTTATTTAATCAAAAATCAGGTTTTAATTTCACAATTAATATTCAAATTAATATTTTAAATTAAATTAATCAATACACCCACCATATCACCTACCCCCATTTCCCAAACCCTAACCATTTTCTTCTCCTCCTCTATCTCTCTCCCGTCCCTTCCCCGCCCCAGCCCCCCCTCCCCCTCCCTCTCCCTAATAAGCGGCGTCGACGCTGGCAGCAACCATTTTTTTCTCCTCCTCTCTCTCTCTCTCCCGTCCCTTCCCCCACCCCTCTCTTCCTCCCTAATAGTCGGCGTCGACGCTGCTGCCGGCGTCGATGCTGCTCACAGCAGCGTCGTCATGGCACCAAAATACAATTTAACCATCATTTGGTTGTTCTAAATAACCTATCAAAGCATTATTGGCAGTCGAAGGGGGATTTTTTGGGAGCTGAGGAATACTATTCCCGTGCTATATTAAGAGATCCTGAAGACGGCCAATCGCTTCTGCAAATATGCGAAATTGATGTGGGAGCTTTATAGTGACCAAGATAGAGCCTCGACTTATTTGGAAATAGCAGCACAGGCATATCCTGAAGATGGGTAAATAATCTGTGGTGTATCTTGTATTGTACTGGCCTTGGTGTTTTCAGTGTTTTTAGCACCCCTTTTTTTGGTTGTTGGAGTGGTGATGTGAGCCCCGGCAGTGGTGCCATTGGTGTTTTTAGTTGGGGGTTTTTTTGGTTGTTGGAGTGGTGGTGATCATTTTTACGTTTTGGTGGTGTTGGAATTGGTGTGGGTTGTGTGTTGTTGTGATGTGTCGACGGCGGTGGTGGTGGCGGTCGCGAGTGTCTGTGACCTAGGTAGGTGTGTGTGACCTAGGAATTGTGACTGTGACTCGTTGAAATAGAGNAAACGAAGGACCACATTATTGTGGCCTCCTCTCAAATGATAATCCATTCGTCAATCATCTTGTACCGCCGTTATTATCGTCGCCCTCGACCAAACGGGACCCGCCGCTTGACCACTAATGTCGGAAGACTTTCGACACAAGGCACCTCCAACGCGAATGATTTTTAACTCGATCGCCACCATGCTTTCTACTGCGTTTCTCCGACCCTGGGCTCTAATAGCAGTTGTTAGTAAATAGGACTCCAATCAATGATTTACGGGCTCAGTTCACCAACCAATCGACACCACAAGTAACGACCCAATCCAAAACCAAAACTCCCAAACCTGTTGCTCCAACTAAAGTCAGCCCACAAAGGACTCGGTGTGAAGAAGATAACAGCTCAAATGAATCAACCACCAAAGCTAAGGAAGAAGAGAAAAAAGGGGATCACCAAGAAGGGCACAAAGCCAAAGTACAAAGCCAACAAGGAACCGGTTTCTCTTCTACCAAAAAATATGAATGCTCACTTTTCACACACAATCAACAGTAATGGACTAGGGCTTAAATAGTTTAGGTTTAAGTGTGGGCTTTTAGGTCAAATGATAGGCCCAAGTATGCAGGGGATAAGTGAGCTAACACCTTAAAGCCATCCAAGTCATTTGGGTCGGGCCTAGCTTAATTAGACTACTTCAAATGGCCCAAGTAGGTTATAGGATTCGACTGAGTAATTGTGGTATCGATGTACAACTTCAGTCATCGGCGGAAGCCTATAAAGTATAACCCAACAAACAAAATCAGCTTATATCATCGTCCGGATTATTGGGTATCAAAAAATCCAGCAATCTCCACCTTAATTCGCAATAAATCTGCAAGCAACCAAAACACACGGTTTATACTTGTACAATCAAAGCAACCAATAAAATTGATATCACAGACTTTACCTCGTGTTTTGAACCCAAAACACATACCATACCTGCTCTACGTACTCACCAGGGCTAAGGTCAAGAACACCCAAATAGAAACAGATAATCACAGCAATCAATCAAACGCAAATAAATATGCGACGGAGATATCATATATAGGATAACATAGATCTTTTTCAACCATATTCACTCAGAACAACAGATTAACACCAAATCAATCAACATTCCAAAACATACGCAACAAATGCATAAATGACCTCACGAAGATCTCACCACACTTATCTTATCCCATTCCGTGTTGCTCGCTCCTCGAGAACACATATCTTACCTCATCACCCACAATGCTCACTAGACTAATCACTCAAAAACACACGTCTAACTGGTAAGCCTCTATAGATTCTAAATTATCAGGATAATCATCTATCACACATCACTTCTCCATCCTAAGTGGATAATGGGTCTCCACATAAGAGAAGTGATAGAAGTGCCTCTTTCACACTCCACCTGATCAGGGTCTCTTCACAGATAAAGGATTCCAAACATTTGATCACATCTCCACCGTGATCCGAATGTCACACTCCACATCCTACGGTACAAACCACAATGTACCCCTAGGCATCTATACTCCACCTAACCAAAAGACATACACACACATACTGCTAATGCATCCCAAACCCACTATGCATGCAAACACATTACACAAAGTAATAAAATCACCCTAATTCATGCCAATGCACATATCAAACATATTGAAATGCAACATATAATCAAGCAGAGGAAACGAACAATCACACACACGTAGAAAGGATTACACACGGATGCAAATGCTGTAACTGGGTCTACTCTCAATAAACCTCGCTAGGGTCATCACTCGACCCTAGTACCTAATTCGTCTCGTCTCTCAACTTACCCTTCTTCTTGGGACAAT